TAGAGTTAAAAGCGAACGACGCGAATTTTCGATCAGACTTTTGGGTGGTCCCCATGTATGGGAGTCCCATGAGAGGGACTTTTCCCCTTGGAAATCAAGGGAAACCATTTTCTTTTTTCGTAACCGATTGCCTTTCACTTCATACAATAAACAATGCGATTCGGTAAGAAGCGATGTTCGGTCCGACGTTTGGTCCAATATTGCCTGCACGGTCGGACGAATTTCGCCCATATGTCGAAATGGCTCCCTGTTCAAAGGGTTAAAATGATTTCCAGCTGATTTCCTCGTGATTTCTAGATTTGATCCATGCTCTCCTGTGGGAATATTTCCTCGTTGGTTCTTTGGGCATCATATGGGACTCGAGTTGGGAACCCTTCGACGGTCCCTTTGCAGAAACGAGTGCGTGCACTCGTACTTGCACGCGTCTCGTTGCGCGTGCGGGAGTTGAGTTACGCCTCGAGAAGGACTTAAGGGCGGGCTGCGACCGCAAGCTGATTAAATGCGGTTTCCACCGGCCGCGACTCGTGCGAACTCTCCGCTCGCGTTCCTGAGAACCAACCCGAGTGTCCTCGTGGTTTCCTCGCTTTCGTCTGCGCCTCCGTCCGAAAAATCACCGCCGAAGATGCGTTTCCACCGCACTGAATCTCGAAAAAGACTTCTGACGTTCTCAAAAGTCGCCCTCCCTGCCGATAAAATTCTGGAAATGAATATCGTGGATGCGGTTCATGGAAAAGAAAATGATTATTGCACATTTTACCCTTTGAATACGGAGCCATTTCGACACATGGACGAAATTCGTCGGACCGTGCAGGCAATATTCGACCAAACGTCGGACGCCTTTAGGCACTCTTGGGAGCCAAAGGGCTAACTAAGCATGGTATTGCTGACAAAAATTGCAAAGTGTTTGCAATTTTATCGGACGTAGATGTAACCGCGGAAGAACCTCGTAGAATAAATAATGCCCTCAAAATTAGCAAATGATTTTCTAAAAGTAGCCAAAATGCTACCTTTGCCTCCATCTAATTGAGGGAGCGACATAACGTTGCAGAGTAATTTCCACGCGTTTGCAATTGCCGAATCGAATGAAATTTCTCATCATGAAATGTTTTCACCGCGTTTGCAATTTTATCGAACGTAGATGTAACGGCGGAAGAACCTCGTAGGATAAATAATGCCCTCAAAATTAGCAAATGAATTTCTAAAAGTAGCTGAAATACTATCTTTGCCTCCACCTGATTAAGGGAGCGACATAACGTTGCAGAGTAATTTCCACGCGTTTGCAATTGCCGAATCGAATGAAATTTCTCATCATGAAATGTTTTCGCCACGTTTGCAATTTTATCGAACGTAGATGTAACGGCGGAAGAACTTTGTAGAATAAATAATGCCCTCAAAATTAGCAAATGAATTTCTAAAAGTAGCCTAAGTACTATCTTTGCCTCCACCTAATTGAGGGAGCGACATAACGTTGCAGAGTAATTTCCACGCGTTTGCAATTGCCGAATCGAATGAAGTTTCTCGAAACGATCATGAAATGTTTCCGCCGCGTCTCCTCCGCGCCTTGGTAGGAAAAAATGGTCCCCGAAGAAGCGTCACCCCGAAGCTCGGAAAACGTCTCCGAGAAGGCGGAGACGCCGCGTCGTCATTAATTACCCGGTGTCCCCGATTAACTTTTATCGCTTAAGGTAGCACCGAGACAAGGAGTCGGCAAATCCAGGAGATGTCCGTTCCGGATCCTTTGTTTCCCGGTAAGGATGAGCCGGCGCCATTCGCCGATCCCTGATAAAGCGAGAAGGATTCTCTCCGGAAAGAAAAACGAGGGGCCCTTCTTCTGCCTCCAAAGGGGCGCGAAGGGCCCGTTCGTGTTGGTCCCAGTCCCGGGAACAAAGAGCCCCTTGTATTGTTCTATGATTTACGCCGTGGAAGCGTTCCTCGCGGATGCGAAAAGACCCCTCGGGAGCCCCGCACTTGTCACCTGCGTAATTAAGCTCGTCCTGGGCCTTAAGGGGGGCCTTAACGACGCCGGGCCCAATGGGCCCGACGACTCCTTGGGCCCATCCGACCGACACGGATCCGTCAGTCTCCAAAAGCGAGCTATGGAGACGCTCAAAGATGCCGATCGCTCCTGTCGCGACAATTTGGTCCTTGCTCCTGTATCCTGCCATTAGGATGCTGCCGATTACCTGGATAGATAACCTCCATTTTCTCTCATGTTTTTCGAATCTCCTCGAAAATGGCTGTTTCGTTAATTCCACGCCCGCAGAAAAGAGAAACAATTCGGTTCATGCAACAAATTCCTCTCGGGGCATTCGATTGATTTAAAAAAACGATTCGGTCGAGCGAATTGAATTTTTTGAATTCACTCGACTGAGCTCGTTCTTGAAAAAATGGAAATTTGGGGGTCCACGTCCTTGCGGTTCCAGGACTAATTCGGAGGAGTTTATCCGGGCCAGGTTTGCGGACAAGCTGGTGGAATTTCAAGCCTAGTCCTTTATAAATCCGCGGATCGTTCCGGTGGCGGAGGCGCCGGTATAATTTGTCTCGGGTTTACGAGCTACACGACGTCCCGGAGGGGACAAGCCTAAAGTCCCCTGGAGTCCCGGGTCCCTTTGGCAAACCGATCCCGGAGGATATCTAATAACCTCTCGTTAATCATCTCCAAAATCATCCCAAGTTTAAAAATGGAAAAGATTCCTCCTATCCCTTGCACCGAGAACAAAGACAAGTTCACCGAAATAAATAAATAATNAATAATTCCGTCCCCTCGATCTGACATTTCTTTCAACGTATTTGATCCTGCGAATGATTTTGATTTCATTGTCGTAATATTTCATAGAGTCGACCTACGTATTTTTCCTCAGAGGGCGTGAATTAATAAATCCGTATAATTTGGAGATTTTTAACCAGCGATCTAGGCGAGTTAGTCACGTTTAGGCATTTCGGGCCTTTCGGGTAGTCGGCTAGATGGCCGAAACGAGCTTATCGCGCGTCGCGATAAAAGATACGGATTTTCATAGCGGTTGAGAGAATTCGAGAGAAAGAGAGAGATGGAGGGACGCGCTCGCGTCCGCTTGAAAACAATCCGCGCCGGCTGATAAATTCTATCTGGCGGCTGTCGTCGGCGCGTTTAGCCGTTTAATCGTCGCGATGAACCCCGGAGGCCCCGGGGTCCTTCCTCGGCCGCGATTCCGAATAAACACGGCCAGTCGCAGGCGGCGCTCCGACGACGCGACGCGACGCGCCGCGACGCGTCTCACCGGCCGGTTGCGCAACGCGCCGGTTTTTATTATCAGGGCGCGATAGCCCTACCCTTTGATATCGGGACCGGGGGGGAAGGGTCGCGAAATCACGTCCTTTCGATTAATCGTAGACCGGGAGTGCCGATCGAAAAGGAATATTTATATGTGAGTACAGGAAAAAAAAACAAAAAAAAAATGAGATAATTGTACTTTTGAGAAAGGGTCACGAAATCACGTCCTTTCGGTTAATCGTAGACCGGGAGTGCCGATCGAAAAGAAATATTTATATGTGAGTACAGGAAAAGAAAAACAAAAAAAAATTGAGATACTTGTACTTTTGAGAAAGGGTCGCGAAATCACGTCCTTTCGGTTAATCGTACACCGGGAGTGCCGATCGAAAAGGAATATTTATATGTGAGTACACGAAAAAAAAAAGAAGAAAAAAAAGATAACAAAATGAGATAATTGTACTTTTGAGAAAGGGTCGCGAAATCACCGTCCTGGAATTATTTACAATCGAAGAGGGATATTTATATGTGAGTACGGGAAATGAATAATGAGATAATTGTAGTTTTGGGAAAGGGAAGCGAAATCACCGTCCTGGAATTATTTACAATCGGAAAGGGATATTTATATGTGAGTACATGGAAGTAAATAATAATAATAATAAGATAATTGTAGTTTTGATGAGTGCACATCGATGAGTGCGCATCGCAGTAGGTCCCAGGTTCCCTAACAAACGCATGATTATCCAAACGACAAAAAAAAAATGGTTAATAAAATTTCCCCGGCCTTCGATCGAGGCTTTAAAAATGATTTATCGCTCGAGATCGGAGCGATAAATAATTTCTCGGCATAAATTAAAAGGAAAGAAAGCGGAAGCGAGTAGGGAGGGTGCGAGTCTAGAAAAAAGGAGATGAACGATAAATGCGCATCGACAAGAAAATGGTTAATAAAATTTCCCAGGCCTTCGATCGATGCTTTAAAAATGATTTGTCGTTCGAGATCGAAGCGATAAACAATTTCTCGGCATAAATTAAAAGGAAAGAAAGCGGAAGCTTCCCGGAAGCGAGTCGGGAGGGTGCGAATCTGGAAGAAGGAGACTCGCGACGAGTGCGCATCGCAGTAGGTCCCAGGTCCCGAGTCCGGAGGGTTCCCGGGGGAAGTCTCGGTCTCCTCCTCCGCGTCCCGGCTCGTGCGTGCGTGCGTACGCCCGGTGGAGGGGTGCGTCCCGGGGTGGGGGAATGCTCTAGGCAGTTAGGAGGGCAGGTAAGCCAGGTAAGCGCGGAGCGCGATCGCTAAGCGGGGCCGACGCGGGACCGAGTGGGGCCGAGTGGGGCCGAGACCCCGAGTCTTCGGTGGGACTCGGTGAGGCTCGGAGTTGCCCGGAGTTCGACGACGAGCGCGCGCCGCCTCCCGGCCGAGAGTGCGCGTCCGTGCTGCCGCGAGTCGGCGAGTCCCAGCGGTCCCAGCCAGGAGCCGTCCGCGGTCCGGCCCCCTCGGCTCGCGCGAATGCCCCCCGCGGGCAGGACGCGCGCGCCCCCGCGCAGGATGCGCGCGCCACCGAGGAGGGCCCGTCAGGCCCGCGCGCCCCCGCAGTCCGCGCGCGACTGAGCCCCCGGCGCCCGCATCGCGACCACCTGCGCAGGGTTGCCGGTGCGCCCGGCTTGGGGTAGGTCGCGAGCCCCCAGGCGCCAGACCGCGCGGCGCCGGGAACCCCGGTGGTGAGTTTAGAGTTTCTCCAGTGAGGTGAGAGTTCGACCGACGGGGGTTGGAGCTGTCCCGGGAACTTGGTGCGCTAGTCGGCCGGACGCTTTGGTGCGCGGACCCGAGGCAGGCGCAAGGATTTTCCTAGCAGCACCGAAGGCCAGCCCGACGCAATGCGTCGAAGCTGCTGACGCAACGCGCCTGGATGCGTCTCTCTCTAAGCACGTGAGTGTCCCGAGGGAGGAGGTGGACTTCCGGGCCGAGATGTGCCCGGAAGGGAATCCGACATTTTTTAAGGGGGGCCGACACCTCTCGAACCAAACCGAATCGGTTCGATCTTCGCCACGTGACCGGGGAGACTCCGGACCGTCGGGGAATTTCACGTTCTCTCCTCTGGGACTTCTTAAACGCCTGCCAAATTTTCGAGTCATTTCATCAGCGTCGGGACATTTGTCGGAACCTTCAGATTCACGTCGTGGAGATTGAAACGTGAGGGCCCTGGGAGAGAAGGTGGATTTATGCCCACCGAGATGTGCCTGGAAGCAAATCCGATACTTTTTAAGGGGGCGGAAGTGCCATGCGGTGGGTTATACTTTTAGAATGAAATCCCTTTAAACGGTGAAATGAAATCCTTGAAACCTGGTTCGCGGCTCACGGGGGAATGTTTCGTTTCTGTTTTTCTCTTTTTCTTGGTGCACCGCCGCTCTTTTTCAAGTTCCACTCGTGGTCGGGCTCTTCGGGCATGTAAATCGACGGATCGTTAGCTCGCGGGGAAATTCTCGGCCATCTCCCGCGACGCGGGCCGCATTATACAGGCAACTACGTAATCGTTTTAACGATAACTACGTGCATTTTATTCCTGGCGTATCGACACTCCTGCCTATTATATCACGAGGGAAGCAGCTGGCTAGGTTCTCGCCGGAATAATTCGAATTGCTCGGTGGAGGGTAGTGCCGTCGGAAAAGAAAAAGAAAAAAAAAAGAAAAAGAAAAACGCCGGGAATCCGGAGCGGCAGGTGCCAAACTCCCTGAACCGCCATTTCCCCGAGGAGAGAGAAACTTAACCGGACCAAAGAAATATTTTCCTAATTCAAAGAGTAATTACTTCACTGGAGTAAATATTAATTCTTAATTATTAGCTATTAATCATTTTAGAATTAAACCCCCTTACGTGTCCAAAGTGCAAGATCAAATCCGTATTTCCTAGGTCTTCTTCTCGAGCAATGTCTCTCGTTACGGAGGCGGTTTAAAATAAAAGTCGGAAAAATCGCAGAAATCCCTGAAATTCCTAAAATCCTAAAAATCGCTACCGACTCGTCTCGAGGGTAGAGGGTTCTCTTTTTATATCTCTTTCACCCCGTGAAGGTATTTTTGCAGGCCCCCCGAGTAACGGTCCCCCGGCTCAACCCCGGCGGGGTGGAACCCCCCATGGGGCCCGACGACTCTCCCCAAGAGCGTCTTTCGTGCTTCTAGACGACAATGCGTTTGTTCCGTCTTAATCCAACGGGCGAAGTCGGGCCCAGGGGCCCTTTATTCGATTTCCCTTTGCGCATCCCCATCAGGCCCCTGGATAAAGATTTCTCAACCCTTTAGACGCGGCGACGTTGTCGGGCCCGTCGAACGACTTAATTTCCTCTTTTTTTTTCCCCCATCCGTAGATGAAAGTTCCTCTAAAAATTGGGGCGAGATAAGGCCCCGATTTCGGAGGCCGCGGATAACCACGGAGATCCGCTAAAATTAGGTGGACTTTCGATCCGGCGATAGAGCCGCTCTTATCGAGGTCGATCGTATCGGCCACGTGCCGGGAATTGGATCATACGATCTGCATTCGGGGCCCGGGCCCAGGGTGGGCCCAAAATCCCGGGGGGCCTCATGGGTCGCGATTCTCGAACCGCGCGCATCCCTTGTGCGCATGCGCGGTACCCTCCTAGTCACTCGCGAGCTAGCGTCGCGCAATCGCGCGAGCGGAATTCCATCGCGGCGACGTTTATCGGCAAAGTCCGATCGGCCAGTTGTCGGGCGGAAAATCTCCGATAACCTGACATTTTTGAGATAACGCGGACTCGCCATTAAAATGCCTTAGAGATGAGAGGCGCTAACGTCGCGACATTTCGCAAGGCCCCGACGGGCCCCGGCGAGCTCGACTCGACCAAAAGGAAAACCTGTCCCCTCTCGATTATCCTGATTACCCTGATTACACGTTACAGCTGACTCGTACAGGTAAAACTGTCTCGGGCGAGCCGAGCTTCTTGGAAAAATCTGCCGGGGATACCGTTCGAGGGAAATCTTTCTCGCGGAATTACTCCTAGAGATGCCCTTCTTCGTCGTCGGAGTTATCTTCGCGAAATTGGAGCACGGCTCGAAGGACTCGATCCGAGGAAATAATTCCAGGGAATTATGGATATATTTCGAGAAATTCTCCTGAAGGAGTTTTCACGTTTTCTTCATTCAATGAATTTTACTTTACGCGGATTAACTGGAATGAATCGTTATGATTTTGGGGACATTTTGCATATTGTTTGTTCGGCTTTATTTCAGTCTAATAATTAGTCTTCGAAATTCAATTTCTTTAATTCAATTCATTCAATGATTTATTCCTTTACTCGGATAAATTGAAATGAATCTTTATGATTTGTTCGGCTTTATTTGAGTCTAATAATTAGTCTTCGAAATTACGAAATGTGTACTCGGTATTATTCGAAGGTATCTCTCGATGAGATTTCTTTTTTTTTTCTCAGGGTACGTTGACGGTGTTATCGCGTCTCTTTATTCGTGACTTCCTCGGCGAGTCGGGAAGTGCCGGAAATTCCGTCGATTTCTTAATTCAATGAATTATTTTACTCGGATAAACTGATATGAATCGTTATGATTTTGGGGAAATGTTGCCTCTTGTTTGTTCGACTATATTTGAGTCTAATATTTAGTCTTCGAAATTCAATATCTTTAATTCAATTCATTCAATGAATTATTCCTTTACTCGGATAAACTGAAATGAATCGTTATGATTTGTTCGGCTTTATTTGAGTCTAATAATTAGTCTTCGAAATTACGAAATGTGTACTCGGTATTATTCGAAGGTATCTCTCGATGAGATTTCTTTCTTTTTTTTTTTTTTCTCAGAGTACGTCGACGGTGTTATCGCGTCTCTTTATTCGTGACTTCCTCGGCGAGTCGGGAAGTGCCGGCAATTCCGTCGATTTTGCCGTACCTATTTGCACAACTGCTGATTCGGCCTTCAAGCTCACGATCGGTAACACATCACGTCCATGCTGACGTAGAGCCCGATGGTGCCCGTTGCACCGGGCATTGCATTGCTCCAGATGCGATTAGTTACCCAGATGCGATTTTACGTGGTCGCGATAAGGCCCAGCTCGGGCCTTAAGGCCCCCTCGACTCGCCTTAACGCGTTCCCACGACGATTTCGTAACAGCCGAGTCTGAGGAGTCGACGTTGATGTTTTCCTTCTCTCCTTCTCTCCTAAGAATAATTCCCCCCGATAAGGAGATGCAGTCACTTGGGCGGAATCCCGAGAACCTTAGTTGCACGCATTATCATTTACCCTCTTTCAATATCCGCCAAATGGCCTAAGATTCGGTACTCCCAGAAAATGTTTCGCGGAGGATCGATCCCTCGTATGGCACTTTCGCCTCCCCTTAAGGTGAAGTGAAACACGTCGAGGAACTTGATCGACGTCGATAAAGAAGATTTACTCTAAATGCCTACGTTGCCGACGTTCGTTCTTATATCGACAACTGTGTCGAATTATATTGGATATAGTACCAAATGATATACTCCACCTGTCGTTTTCGTACAATAAATATCAAGAAATCGAAGTAAAACTCCAGAAATCCTCTGGATTCATGCTTTCTGGGGCCCTAATTGACTGCAGAGGGACCCCCTGTGCCAGCTGTGATTCCCAGGTTAATTTAATTTTCACTCCAAGACCTCGTATTCCCATCGTCTTAGCATAGAAGCGCATACAACACTTGCTTTGCCTTTATCCCGTTCAAATGCGAGTTTATCGATTACCAGAGTGTTCTAAATTGTCGTAAAATTGTCCTGACCCTTTTGATTCTCATATCAGAGCCTTCGATAATTGTATATCGATCGAAATATGAGAACTCGACGCCATTTTGGTTCTGGTCTGGGCTGAGTTAAACAATTTTTTCAAAAAATCCAAATTTTAAATGTGCCAGGACAATTCTTAGATGATCAGGAGTGATGTGTCATAGTTTGGTCTAATTCCCTTAAAAAAAAAGTTATTATTCGTATCGACTTATTGGAAGGGTGTTTCACTTCACCTTGAAGGTACCTTTTTATCTGTCGCATTGTTGCAAAATTTCGCGCAATAAATTGACGGTGAGTTGCGAGGATGTCGGGGGGTTTTCCTGCGTTCAATTTGTCCGGGACGCCGCGAGGGAAAACCTCGAGGAGATACCTCGAGGTTCATCGAGCGGATCGTCCATCCGCGCAGCATCCGACTTGGCGCGTCGTCCTTGATGACAAAAGTGGCCACCAGCCGGGGTCACACCACCGGGCAAACATTGTAAATCCCGAGCATACGTGCTAATGCGAACAACGACGGGACAGAGGAACGATTTTAGCATTTCGCTATCCCAACGGCACTTCGGCCGTGGTAATTCGATAGGAATTACAAGGAGACTCGAGGAGCCTTGCCGCTCCCTCGCGACGTCCAGGGGCCAATCGGATCAGGGAAACAAGGCCGCGATAATGCCATTATCCGAGGTGTGTCAGGGATTGATATCGAAACGTCGAGGGGCTTCCCCGGAGCTTTCGTCGGTCCCCCGTTTTGCCCCCTTTCGCGACCCGCCGTTTATTTACCATTTCCTCGGGATCAAGCGCGAGATAATGCGGACCGTTCCTTATCACCGGTTATTTCGATTTCTGACAGAGGATTCCGTTTCGTGGGCCGGATACATCTTAATCATCTTGCCAAGCGTGATCTATAAGGGAATGATTAATTTTTTTTCATCCGCCAGATTGCAAAGGGACATCACTGAAAATATCATTCTGTGTACAAATTCTTTGGATGACATGATTAATTCACGATACAAACATGGTTAAAATTAATGCTATGGTTTTTTCGGTATTTCTTTTCGAAGTTTGAATTCCATCAAATTGACGGCTCCCGTAAACCTAGTGTTAATCATCTTGCCATGCGTGATCTATAAGGGAATGATTAATTTTTTTCATCCGCCGGATTGC